TTGGGGGGGGGGGGGGGGGAGCTCATTCATTTTTCAATGACAGTATAGACATTCCCTCTTTAGCATGGGGAATGAGCCTCAGAAACAGAAGGCACTATCTCTGTGTTCCCTTCAGAGTAATTTTACCTAAAATGAACCTACAATTAGGAGTTTGTTGACAGCTGCCTAGATGTTATCAATCTAAAGGTGGAAGGGGCCTACACTCAGCAAATTCACCGATGTTCACCTTCCTTCAAGTTATGACCCCAGTGGCTGTTTTAACCGTTAAAGTAACTCCACATTTGCTTGTCTTCTGGAAAGAAAAGCACACTGTCTGCTGAGAATCACCAGAACTTCGGCCCTTACATGGAACCTTATTTAGGGCCCAGAAGAAAAAAACAAAACCTCGAGAGCTTTCAGTTAGCTGCCTACTCGCTTCTGAGGCAAACCACCACTCCCTGGGCAGAGCTGGGTTCCTGGGCCCTTTACAGACTCTACATGTAACTGCTAACTGAGCCATCTGGGGGAGGACTGTGGTGGCCAGCTCCAAGTCAGAAAGCAAATGAGGGAGGAATAGCACTGAAATGCATCTTTTACACTCTAGTCATCCACATTCCATGGGAAAATTCATTACCTTCCATGTCTTTATGGTCAAACCAGAACTTCCCTGCTTCTAATATGTATTTCTTTTCATTCAGTTCTTCCTGATCAGCAAATACCTTTGTCTATTTACCTTCACCCTGACAAACTCCTTAGCTCTTTACCATCATAAACCATGCCAATTTCCACAAGCTGAACTCTTCATTCTGTTATCACGGGAAGGAGTAGTTAGTCAAGAGGTGTGACCCCACCAGGAAGACCAAGTAGAGCACCTTTCGGGTGATTGCATAGTGTCCTTTGAGCTCATGCAGGGCCCACTTGATGTCCTGACTGCTGAGCATTTTGAAGTCGGCCATCAGGAGGTCAGCGGCTTGGATGAAGCAGCGTTGGTCAAGAGGAGCCAATTTAGAATAGTCAAAAAAGTCTATTTTAGGCAACTGAAATGAGAGAGAGGCACAACATTAGAGGCCAGACGGTGCATTTCCTATGAGGGGGAAATCATTTGAAGAATTATTTACTACAGAATAGAATAATCTGACTTGTACTCATAATTACTCTAAAGGAGGATACCAACCCTGAAGAGAGATGAAGAAATGATAGTTCAGAGAGGTTAAACAGTCTGTCTGGAGACTAGTTTTACTAGTTGGAACTATGAAAAAGTATAGCTGGGGATTTGAACCCAATTTTTTAGCCATTTTCTTTTCACAATATGTTTAGAAAAATGAATTTTTTTCCAGCTACAAAATACAGGCATACTTCAGGGAAACTGTGGGTTTGGTTCCAGACCACTGTAATAAAGTTAGTATCACAATAAAACGAGTCACACAAATATTTTGGTTCCCCAATGCAAAGAAAAGTTAAAGTTATGTTCATATCATACTGTAGTCTAGTAAGTGTGCAACAGCATATGTACAAAAAAAAAAGTACATGCTGCAATTAATAATTTATTGCTGGGCTTCCCTGGTGGCGCAGTGGCTGAGAGTCCGCCTGCCGATGCAGGGGACGCGGGGTTCGTGCCCCTGTCCGGGAAGATCCCACATGCCATGGAGCGGCTGGGCCTGTGACCCATGGCCGCTGAGCCTGCGCATCTGGAGCCTGTGCTCCGCAACACGAGAGGCCACAACAGTGAGAGGCCCGCGTACTGTAAAAAAAAAAAAAAAAAAAAATTATTGCTAAAAAATGTCAACCATCATCTGAGCTTTCAGCAAGTCAATCTTTTTGCAACAGTAACATCAAAGGTCACTGATCACAGATCACCATGACAAATGTAGTAATAAAGTCAGAAATATTGTGAGAATTACCAAAATGTGACAGAGACACGAGGTGAACAAATGCTGTTGGAAAAATGGCACCAACAGATTTTCTCAAGGCAGGATTGCCACAAACCTTCAATTTGTAAAAAAAATTGTAACATCTGAAAAGCACAAAAGTAAAGGGCAATAAAATGAGTAATACCCATACATAAAAGAAAGAGTCAAAAAGAATTTGTGGTAAATAGAAGGATGGTACAACAGATCCCAGTGAAGCAGTTTTGAACTATACTTTCCTTCAACTGCTTAACACACTAAATGCTAGTCTGGATCACAAACGAAGACAATGATTAAGATTTCTAAAAAAACAAACTTTATATCTAGATACAGGATTTGGTTACACAGGTGTATGTACTGTATATAAATCTTATACAAAAAGAAAAACTGTAAACAGACATTAAACTCTAGGCAATAATCTGCATGCTAAAGTATTTATGGGGCAGTGTATTGATGTTTTTGCAATTTACTTTGAAGTGCATTATAATGAAATAAAATATGAGAGGAATGTGCTGATGGACACAGGGATGGACATGTGACAAAATGGACATAGTAAAATGTTAACTTTTAATAGTCGTGCTGGTGGATATATAGGTAATCAATGGAAAAGCCTTCTGACTTTACTGTATGTTTGAAAATTTCACAATAAAATGTTAAAAAAACCCTAAAATGATACAAATAATCCGGTCCAATTCTTGTTTATCTTAGGAACTTCCTTTGTAGGATTAAAGATATGGAGGATTTGTTTAATTCTTTGTGGGGAAGGGAAGATAGAGTTACAATGAAAGAAGTCAAATACAGAATTCAAAGTGACTCGGAGAAATCCATCTGAGTGGGAGAAATCCCACTAAAATATATATTCTGAAATTCTCTTTTCCTGGATAGTCTTAAAAAATGTGTCTTGACAAAGCAGTTTATTCCCTTAAAAATGATGAAAAGAGCAGAGCATTTCCAAGTAGACACTGCAAAACAAGAGCACAACTTGCCTTTATCTCATCTTGGCTGGCAAGCAGGCTGCTATTGGGATTGATAAGGACTCTATCTTCTCTCTTTGGATAATCTGGATTTTCCAGAAGAAAATTACAAAGTCTGCAAAAATAAATGATGTTACTTTCATAGTGCTTCCAAATCCCACACCTGCCCATTGATTCAAATGTAATGTGTGAAAATAAAGTTTCTAGACACACATTATAATTGACCTATCAGGGAATTAAAATGTTTGCAGATCAGAAAAACAAAACAAATAAATAGACAAAAGACAGTTACACAGAATCTCTATTTTTACTTGCTAATTTAAAAAGTAATATACATACTGAAATATAAACTCTGAAGTTTTTCTGTTAGTTGGGTATCAATATAATGAAGTCATTGAAATTCTTACTGGTTGAACTGTATGGGGAAAAGTTTGTATTTACATCCACAATTAAAAACAGTTTTCTGGGGCTTCCCTGGTGGCGCAGTGGTTGGGAGTCTGCCTGCCGGTGCAGGGGACGCGGGTTCGTGCCCCGGTCCGGGAGGATCCCACATGCCGCAGAGCGGCTGGGCCCTTGGGCCATGGCCGCTGAGCCTGCGTGTCTGGAGCCTGTGCTCCGCAGCGCGAGGGGTCGCAGCGGTGAGAGGCCTGCGTGCTGCAAAACAAAACAAAACAAAACAAAAATCGTTTTCTGGGCTTCCCTGGTGGCGCAGTGGTTGAGAGTCTGCCTGCCGATGCAGGGGACACGGGTTTGTGTCCCGGTCCGGAAGATCCCACATGCCGCGGAGCGGCTGGGCCCGTGAGCCATGGCCGCTGAGCCTGCGTGTCCAGAGCCTGTGCTCCACAACAGGAGAGGCCCGCATACAGCAAAAAAAAAAAAAAAGTTTTCTAAGAGTTAATAAATGGAACATAAAAGACCTTCTACTAATTCATTAATACTTCTTTTAACCCTACGGTAATAAATCCCCATGACAATCTGAGGGAAGCTCAGTTTACTGTAAGGCTGAAGGAACAGACCATGTTTGCTTAAGAACAGACTCTCTTCATACCAAACTAACAACCTTGTCTTTTTATCACTACTATGAAATCCTTCAAAAGTAAGGATATAGAGAATAAGATAACATGAGAGAGGTATCACCACCCAGATTTACAAATGTTAACTAACAAGGCCCTTCACCCTAACAACCAAAGAAGGCAATGAACTGTACTCCTGGGATGATTCCACACAGACAAGTACAGCCTGGCGGTATGCAGCACGAGCCACTTCAGTAGCAAGAAAGCTTCCAGTTACAGGGCAACCAGGGCTTCCCCTCTCCTCTACCTTCCTTCCCTTGCTCCTGCAGATTCTGAAGATGACTCCACTGCCTCGAAGGTGCCCCACCATGATTCTCACTCAACTCCCTTCTCCCCAGGTCTCTCCTGTCCAGTGTCAGGAGCGCAGCCTCTAATTAAGACAGGTCTAGCAGGAAGAAGACAGAGAAAAGGTGCTCACCTCCAGCTCCTCTTCTCACCAAGGGCCAGTGTGTGGGGACCAAAAACTAGGGAGGCATGCTTCTTTTGCAATCCCCCTCAGAGCCCTCAGCACTGGCCGGAATACAAAGCCCGACTGCAAAGCCCCCTCTTCCTCCTACTCCAGGACCGCTCAGCACATCTCAACACCTTTTTCTTCATCATTACTACCAGGAGTCCCATGCTTCTTATTGTTAAGCTCTCCTCTTCCTATCACCACGCCCAGTCTCTGGAACATATTGCCAGAGGCCCGGAGAGGGTAAAACCCCTTTCCCATATTACAGTAGTAGCAAGGGGAGACACCCCTAGTCAAGAATTCTGAGCACATTTCCCATTAAAAGCATTGTCACTGATGGTGACTCTTTGCTCCAGTACAAACTGATGAGCACCACAGGTTATACAGATCTCTGAAGGCTAACCTGAGAATTATTCACTGTTAAGAACCCAGTATTTGTGGAGAAAGGCACAGAGTTCCAAACAACCCCTTTAACATGCACAACTGGACGTACTACAAACCAGATGTGGAATAGCTCCTCCATTCCAATCTTACCTGTTTGTAACGTTCTGATAAGTGTGGCTACCACAGGCCAACAAACTGCCCCAAAACCAGGAATTTGGGGAAAGATAAAAAGGTCAAATATAAAGAATCTTCTTTAATAGAATAGCCATGCATGAGTGAAGCCAGAGGTCTCCTAAGTGGGATGCATGGAAGATGATCTGCTAGGGTGTTGGAAAATAGTAGTAAAACTTGCTTCTAGTTTTTAAAATCTCATCCTTTAAAATGTTCTATTTTTATGCACTTCCTAAAGTACATGCTATAGAACAGTAGGTATAATTTCTGAATCACCCCCCGATCCCCAGCCGCATTTTAGAGGTTCTTCTCTTAGCAATTCATTTTATATTTTCAACACTATTAAAAACTTCACATATCGAAATGCTTGTCAGAACTCAAATCTGCCCACCTACTGATATTACTTCATGCTTGATCTGACCTGACAAGCTACAGGGTTTTGAGAAAGCACTCCCACTAAATAAGCCAGGCTAATATTCCAAGCTTTTATTCTTTAATAGTTGTTTGCTGCCTCGATCCAACTTAAGTTGCATCACATGTGAGTGAAAAGTCTTAGTTAAAGCGTCAAAGAGTAGGTTATCATCACAGCAGGTTCTCTGGTGAACAGGCCCCTCCTGCTAAAATGACCAGCTGGTTACATCTGAAGGTGACTTAAAGACTGCACACAAAGTGACTGAGAGTCAGCCCCACAAAATACCAGCTTGCTCAACTCTGCTTTGGGCCTCCTTTTGGCCCTACGTTAACAACGTTCAACTTAGTTTTGAGAATTAACAACTTAGTCTCAACAGCCCAGGGACGAAAGGAAAGCAGTGTCAGGAAAATCATACTGTAAGTTTCAAAAGATTCAATACCATTATTGAACATTCCCTTTCCTTTGGAATTCACAAGAATTTATGTTTAAGGATGAATATTTGCTTTTCAGTGATGCAAAAGGCACAGTCAGTAAGCCCCTAGAAAAAATGACATGTATGAGACTCAGGAGGTAGGAGAACAGAATTGTCACAGAATCTGTCAATTTGATCACACTTTACCGATATTACATTGAAGACTAATTTTGCAGATATTTAAAAAATAATATATTCATCCATAGAATGAGAGGGAAACATTATAGTATACTAAATTTCTAAAGGATTACTTTAATATTTACTGTAAGTTATTCAAAATACTACTTGGTATTTCCTATTCAAATCAGTATTCTGTAACTAAATGTGCTAGGTATATACATTTATAGTTTCTAAAATGAACGGAAATTATGCTTCATAATCAGGAAAATATTAACAAAAAAAGGAATTCAATGAGACAAGAGAAGGAGTAAACAATTCACATAGGAGGGAAATAAAATTAGTAAACAAATATATGAAAAATGGTACATAGCTAATTATCAAAGAAATGCAACTAAAATATTAATTACTTTATGCCTAGTTAAAATAAGACTATTCAATATTGTTGAGGAATGAGTAAACCAATTCATATACATCTCTAACAGCAACATAAACTGTCACAACTCCACAGGAAAGCTATTTGTTAGTTTGTTTGTTTTTGCTGCACTACTTGGCTTGTGGGATCTTAGTTCCCCAGCCAGGGATTGAGCCCAGGCCCTCTGCAGTGAAAGCGCAGAGGCCTAACCACTGGACTGCCAGGGAATTCCCTGGAAAGCTCTTTGGAAATATGTTCCAAGGATCATGAATCTGTTTATAATCCCTGATCCCAAATGTTAACTTTTAGGGTTTCAGCATACAGTGTATAACAAAAAAAAGGAAAAGTACTACATGGAATAATGCAGAATGTTTATCAGAACACTAGTGAAACTATGTACAGGAAAAATATTTAACAAAGAGGAAAATTCAATAGAATAATTTTTATTAAAGGTAATCACTAATAACACCATAAAAAAATGGAAAAATTTTTTTTACATAACACTATTTCATGAAAAAGATATCCAAAATTGTATTTACCCTCCAAAAAAAATTAGGTTTTCATTCCAAGAACTAAAAAGGCACGTTAAAAAAAATCAGTTTGGACTTCTCTGGTGGCGCAGTGGTTAAGAATCCGCCTGCCAATGCAGGGGACATGAGTTTGAGACCTGGTCTGGGAAGATGTCACATGCTGCAGAGCAACTAAGCCCGTGCGCCACAACTACTGAGCCTGCGCTCTAGAGCCCTCGAGCCACAACTACTGAGCCTGCGCTCTAGAGCCCTCGAGCCACAACTACTGAGCCTGTGTGCCACAACTACTGAAGCCCGCACACCGAGAGCCCATGCTCCACAACAAGAGAAGCCACCGCAATGAGAAGCCCGCACACCGCAAGGAAGAGCAGCCCCCACTCACCACAACTAGGGAAAGCCCGTGTGTGGCAATGAAGACCCAACGCAGCCAAAAATCGATCAATCAATCAATCAATCAGTTGTTTTTTAGTTGAGTGGAAGTCTAGGAGATATTTTTCATTGTAAAAATGTAGCTATTTCTGCTCAATTTTGCTATGAATTTAAAACTATTCTAAAATTAAAGTTTATTAATTAAAAATAATGCAGTTGTCATCATGTTGTTTACATACTCAAAAAGAAAATATTTTAAAACCTTAGAATAAAACAGCACCTTCACTTCTAGTAATGGCAGACCAATACTCCCAAAGATGAGAAACGAGACCAAAATTAAAAAACAAAATTAAAAAATTTCTACTTGAAGGTATCACTAGCCAACAGGGTGGTAAAGAAGGCCAAGTCTGGGCTTCCCTGGTGGCGCAGTGGTTGAGAGTCCGCCTGCCGATGCAGGGAACGCGGGTTCGTGCCCTGGTCCGGGAAGATCCCACGTGCCGTGGAGCGGCTAGGCCCGTGAGCCATGACTGCTGAGCCTGTGCGTCCAGGGCCTGTGCTCTGCAATGGGACAGGCCACAACAGTGAGAGGCCCGCGTACCGCAAAAAAAAAAAAAGTGGAGGGAAAAATTTAATTACAGCATTTTCATACAAGTGGAATACTACTTAGCAACGAAAATGCATGAACTATAGTTATACACAGCATAAAGAATCTCACAAACATAATGTTGAAAGAAGCCAGCCACGAGAGAATACAGACTACATGAAATGTTCATACAGTATTCAAAGATGGCAGCAATGCTCTATTTTTTGAAGATTTCTGGGTGGTGGTTACATGAATGTTTGATTTGTGATAAATTATTAAGCTGTGCATCTTTATTTTGTGCATTTTTCTGTAAGTGTATTATAGTCCAAAAATAAAAAAAATTAAGTTATACACAATCCAGAATATGGAGGAAAGGCTTGAGAAGAATGAATGGCGTGTAAAATAACAAAATGGCTTCCCTTTCCAGCAGCATGGAAGATTAAGTACCAATTAAGTACCCAGGCAGTCTCCAACTGAAAACTGCTGAATGAAATATTAAAATAAAACTTTTAAAGTACACCAATATGTTTAAGTTAGTAAGGCGTTTTCAGGAGTCCAAATCTAAGTGAAACTGACACCCCTGAGAAATAAGCTAAACACAGAAGCTAGTTTTCCTGAGGGCATCTGTTGATCCTAATAAACGTGAGCCCTTAGTTTTCACAGGGCACACAGGATAAGAGACAAAGCTCAGAGACCACATGGAAAAGCATGCCTTAACACTGATGCTGAGTGGATGGATGGGAAAACAAAACTCCCCCTGAGAATTTGTGATTACCCAGTCTTCATCCAGGACTAAAGTCTTACTACCCAGGTAAGATAAAACTTCCAGACAACAACCTAAAGTAGTATTAGACTGACATGACAGTTGGTCTGAGGCACATGACAGAAGTTAAAGCAAATCCTCCTTGAAGGAACCGTTTCTATCAAGACCTCAAGTAATGCGCTCACAGTCAAAATCTACAAAATAACGCAAGGAAACAGGACACCACGAGGCCAGGAGAAACAACAGAATGAGATTCACAAGAACTTCATGTGTGAGAATGATCACACCCAGAACACAAAGAAGTTATGTTTATTGTTTTTAAAGACCTAAAGTGATTAAAATACAAACAAAAAATAAAACACTAGAAGAATGGCCTGAAGAATTAAAGAATAAAAATACTAGAAATGAAAAACATAGAAACTGAAACTAAAAACATAACAGATGGACTTACTAGCAGATTATACCCCACTGAAAAGACAATTGGTAAGCTGGAGGTTAGATCTGAAAAATCATCTGGAATGCATCTCAGAAACAAAGAGATGATGTTAAGAGCCATCATGGACAAGAGTTAGAAGAAAAGTGTTACAGAAGAGGGGAAAAAGAGAACAGGGCAAAAGAATTATTTAATGAGATAATAGCTACAAAATTTCCAGACCTGACCAACATCATCAATCTACAGCCCAGCACAGTCTATATTCTAACTGTATTGCCTTAGTGAAATATACATAAGTGCAAAAATAACTACAAAACATTGTTTACTTCACTCAGTAGAGGTATTAGTACTAGTAACATCGGTACTATAATGTTAAAATTATTTTATGTATATTTTAGGATAAAGAAAATAAATATACTGTTATTAGAAATTACGTTTTTAGTGGAAGACAAAAACAACACATAAATGTAAAATTCAGAAAGATTGAGAAAAAAATTTTAATGTTAAATTTGAATGGAAAATTTTGAATATAAATTCATGATTTAAAAAAAAAATTATTTTCTTGGTTTGTCCCTTGAAAAGGTCCTAGAAGTAATGACAGGCTAGTAGGTATGATGAGCAAGTTTAGCCCCAAGATGTTAGTTTATAAATAACAATCCTCATTCTAAGAAACCTGGGTTTCTTGGGGGAAATGACAGATTCCAGGTTTGGGGCAGAGAAGTTCAAGGTAAGCCTGGGGTAACTTGGCCTATTAGAGAGCCAGGATGTGCTCAAAGACTAATGGAGTCATGCTAAAAAGACACAGGTGCATCTTAAGAGGCTCCTATTGGTCAAATTTAAGATAATTCAGTTTCAAAAAGAAAAAAATTATAAAGCACCACTTATACAAACCTTTATGTCTACAGAGATTTAAAAAAGAGCACAGGGCTTCCCTGGTGGTGCAGTGGTTAAGAATCCACCTGCCAATGCAGGGGACACGGGTTCGAGCCTTGGTCCGGGAAGATCCCACATGCTGCAGAGCAACTAAACCCGTGCGCCACAACTACTGAGCCTGCTCTCTAAAGCCCGAGAGCCTCAACTACTGAAGCCTGCACACCTAGAGCCCGTGCTCTGCAATAAGAGAAGCCACCGCAATGAGAAGCCCACGCACCACAACGAAGAGCAGCCCTTGCTCACATCAACCAGAGAAAGCCCGCGTGCAGCAACGAAGACCCAACTCAGCCAAAAATAAAAATAAATAAATAAATAAATAAAAAAGGGCACAAGAAAAAAAAGGCAAAATCTTCCTTACAGCAGAATGCCAGATAATAATCTAGGTGGTGGATACAGGGTGTTCTTTCAACATTTTATGTTCAAAAATTACAGGGGGAAAAAAATCAGTAACATTAAAAAAAAAGTAAGTGGGGGACTGTTCTAAATTGAAAAGCTAAAAAGATAAATACATTTGAAACCTTGATTCCATCTTGGTTTAAAAAACTGGTAACAGTGCCTGCCTCTGGACAGAGGGGGAGAGATAGGGCTGCCAATGGCACCAACAGTGCCTTTGTATGAATTAGAAAAAAGTACCTCCTCTGGGCTGCTAACCTCAGAAAGAGGGCCCTTCCCTCTTGGTCAAGGCAGCCAGCTCCCACTCGCACCCTTGCTGAGTTCTACGGTACAGAATATAATCTTTGAGGACAGAGGTTTAGTATCCACCTTTAATTAAAATAATCTGTATTAATTAGCCGAAAATTTGACCAAGTTCAATACCTACTGCTCTTTACAAATTTACCACCTCTGCATACTAGAAGGAGGTGAAAGAGTATAAGAGGAAAGAGACTTATTTTTCATTTTGTATTCTTTGGGACACTTTCATTTTTTAAAAAACATATATATCGGGCTTCCCTGGTGGCGCAGTGGTTGGGAGTCTGCCTGCCGACGCAGGGGACACGGGTTTGTGCCCCGGTCTGGGAGGATCCCCCATGCCGCGGAGCGGCTGGGCCCGTGAGCCATGGCCACTGGGGCTGCGCGTCCAGAGCCTGTGCTCCGCAACGGGAGAGGCCACAACAGTGAGAGGCCCGCGTAACGCAAAAAACAAAAAAAAAAACCAAAAAAACCATATTTATCATCTTTATAATGAAAACTAAAGAAGACACTTCCGTACCTTTCTCCACATAGGCAGAGTGGCTACAGAACACTTTGTTACAAATATAGGGAAGAATATATCTTTAACATCCTGACCAAAACATGGGTAGTATCAATGCTAAGAATTAACTAAACATCTTAATTCTATAACCATGTATGATTCTATACAAGATCCAGAAAACAGTCTGTATATGACTAAAATTAAAACTCTTCTAATAGGATGATTCAAAAAGACATAATGCTAACTGAAGTAAGGCAGCCACAAAAGGACAAATATTGTGTGATTCCACTTACATGAGGTCTCTAGAGGAGCCAAATTCATAGAGACAGAAAGTGAAACAGTGGTTGGCACGCACTTGGGAGAGGGAGTGGGGACAGGTTCAGTTCGAGAAGATGAAAAAGTTCTGGAGATGGATGGTGGTGATGGTTGTGCAAAAATGTAAATATACTTAATGCCACTGAACTGTACACTTACAAATGGTTAAAATGTTTTGTGTTATGTATATTTTACCACAATAAAAAAAAAGAAAAAAAGCATGGTGGTATACTTACACATTCAAATCATAGTAATTTTTCAAATGAATTATTTCCTCAATATACCCATGTGCTACATCTGGAAATCTTACTTCCTAGAAGGGAATAAAAAACATTATTTATATTTCATCCCCTGGTATGGTTTCAAATTGCAATAAGAACCAGATGGCAAAAAGTACATAAAATGACTAAAGACTAGAAAAGGACTGTAAAGCAGTTTTGTGTCTGGCTTAAACCTTCACACAAGGTGCCCAGATTTATCTGTCTATAGAGAATATGGAATTTAGAAAGGTATGTAGAGATCACCTGGTCCTCTGCCCCCATTCTGCATGTCTATTCTATAGTCTTTCAATAAATATTGAACATCTCTGCCCAAGCAAAGGAAGTCTAAAGACGAATAAAACACTTTCTAGTGTATACCCTCAAGAAGCACACAATCTAGTAGACCAGATGGAAAAACCTGGGGGAAGAAGGGTTAAAAGACTGTTCCAAGGCAAACAGCAGCCCACAGAGCCCTGCATGACTTTCTAGGTCAGTGCTACCTAACAGAACTTGGTACAAAGATGGAAATGTTCTATTCTGTGCTTTCCAACACGGTAGCTGTTCAGCCCCATGTGGCTGTTGAGCACTTAAAATATGACTGGTGCCACCGGAAATGAAATTTAAATTTTATTTAATTGTTAAGACATTTAAATTTAAACAGCCAAATGAAGCTATTGTATTGAACAGCGTAGCTCTAGGTAATCTTATAAACCTGCTTTAAGGGTTTGAATTTGGAGTTAACTCAATTCCTTTTTAAAAACTGCGGGGACTGCTCATATGACAGCATGAGGGCAACCATGATCTGCAGCTAGAATCCCAGAGGGCTTGCTGAGGGTTTAAGCATACATTCAGGAATCCTGATTCAATTTTCAAATCTTCCGCTTCTCTCCTTCTAGTCTACAAATCTAGGAAATTCAGAAAATGAAGTCCACACACACAAATAATACTTTTGCAATAAAAGGAAACTCAGTATACTTAGTGTGTATAATTATTTACATATCAAAATAAAACTTACTGTTTCTTTCACTAATAGTGCAATGAGTTCTTGGTCTACATCAGGAGCTTCTTGCCCCCAAAGGTTTTCCAAATTGGGCTCCTGAGATCCTTGCAGTGGAAAGGCTGGACCTGGCTCTTCATCATCTATTGCTAATTGTTGGTCTTCAAGCTCTTCCAGAGGATGGGCAGGCTGAGGAGAAGAAGGGCCTGGGATCCCATCCTGCTGGGGTTCTGGTATTGGAAAAGCTGACCCTGAAGGTTCATGCTGATACAACAGTGGGCCCAGTTCTACATCAGGCTGCCGCTCCTGAGGCACAACCTGGTTTGTTATCTCACGGGGCTGTTGGTTCAGAGACTGGAAGTAAGGATGGTCTAACCAGCAGTCTTCTTCGATGGCCTGGTCATCTAGGATATCAGTTGATTCTCCGAGGTTTGATAAAAGCTCTGTCTCTGAGTCTTCAGATGACTGGTTCTGAGTGTCCAAAGGATCACTTTCTGGAAAAAGAAGGCTACCTTCTTTCAAGATAATGATTTTCTGCTCTGCTCTGTGGTTGACAATGTCATTTGTTGCTTGGTTATGACTTGGTCCAGGCTTGGGTTCTCTTTCTGTTTGTCCACTTGGCTTAATGAATTCAGAAACTCCAGGAGGCCCAAGATTTAGAAATTCACCGTAGTTATCCTCAGAATCATCCTGTGCCCCAGAACCAAACAACGAGTTGTTATACACAGAAAAAAAGCGGTTCTTATCTGATTCAAAGGCTGCTCTAGACTTTTTAGGCCTTTCTTCTCCCAATCTTTTGAGATCTTGCCACTGGGCAGCTGGTTTGATGAGATTGGGTCGTGATGTCTGAGGTTTATTTGTCTAAGAAAAAATGAAATTTTAATAATAATTCAATTTTTTTCCTGTGTCTATACCTCCCTATGTACTTATATTGAGCTTCTGAGGTTGGACAGGAAAGAAACAAAAACAAAAACACCCTCCCCCATGAGACCTATTCTTCACATTTATCTTAACATTGAAATTTGGTCACACTATAGTAACTGTAAGAATCAAAGCAGCCATTCATTGATTGAAGCATGACTTATAGTTTGAATTATAATTTCACCTGAGACCAGTAAAACAAAAATAACTGCATAGTACTGAAAATAAAGAAAGAATGACAACACAGTAGAGGAATGAGAAACGTTAAACAGACACAGGAAAAGCAGCTAAATCTCATTAGTAATTCAGCAAAATGCAAATTAAAACAAGGTACCCCCCCCAAGACTGGCAAACAATTTTTAGTTAGACAACTTTTTAGTTAGCATTGGTACAGATGTGGGAAAACTCTCATACTATCATTCATTGCTTGTGAATTTAGGAAAGCAATTTGGTATTACTTTTTTTTTTTTAAATGTATATCCTTATGATTTGTCACTATCATTTTTCAATATCTATTCTATAAACCCTTATGTATTCAAAGGAGGCATATTCACTGCCACACTGCTTGCAACATAAAAAGAAAAACACTGGAGACATTCTGAAGTTTGTTCCTAAGTGAATAATTAAGTAAACTATTATTTATCTGTTCTACAAAATACTCTCCAACTCTCCACCCCTCCAAGAGGTAGCTCTACATGAAATGAAATGGAAACCTCACCAATAAACGTTACTACGTGAAGAAAACTTACAAAACAATACATACACAGACTGATTCTATTCTTTACAAAAATCAAAACACAGACATAAACATATCATTTCTAAAAGCATACACACACACACACATGCACGCACACGTGAATACATATGAATTCAAAGAAAAAGATCTGGAAGGATACATGCCAAACTAGTGACAACAGTTCCTCTGGGAAACCTCTGGGGCAGAAGGGGCCAGTGAAGACAGACTTCAGTTTTATCTGTATTGTTTCAATTTCTATAGAGAACACAATCATATGTTATTTATAAATGTAAAAAGTGGAATGCCCTGGGCTTCCCTGGTGGTGCAGTGGTTGAGAGTCCGCCTGCCGATGCAGGGGACACGGGTTCGTGCCCCAGTCCGGGAAGATCCCACATGCCGTGGAGCGGCTGGGCCCATGAGCCATGGCTGCGGAGCCTGTGTGTCCGGAGCCTGTACTCCGCAACGGGAGAGGCCACAACAGTGAGAGGCCTGTGTACCGCAAAAAAAAAAAAAAAAAAATGTGGAATGCCCAATTTTAAGGTAGCAGAATAAAGATGCCTCTGATCCTTCTCTTCTCTGAAATTACCCCAATCCAGAGAGGAGAATGAGACAAAGAACTGAAAAATCTTTGATAAAACCAGCAGACATCTGTGATCCCAAATCACAATATATACGAGAAGGAGCTGATAAATCTAGTGAGGGAAGTCTAACCAGATTTTAGGCAAGGCAGAGAAAGCTTCAGAAAGGCTGAGTTTTCCAAAGTAGGTGGTGTGGCCTGGCGGGCAAAACCAACTCCTTGCTTGGAACAATGGGAACCTCCACTCCATTTGGCAGCAAGGATGTTCTGAGGAGGTTAGACTGAATGAAGACACACGTCTCTGCTGGAGGTAGGCTGTCAGTGAGGCAGGAGGGAGAGAACTTTGAACTGGGCTGCTCTGAAACTGGCAGTATCTGCCAGGCAGTAAGAAAGAAAGAAGCATACGTGTATGTAAGCACACCTCCCCCACCCACCGCCACCCCAATGTCCTCTGTCATAGGAAGAATTCCTGCTAGCCAAGAATAGTGCCTGAGCCTTTCCCCAACATAAATGCCTGCAAAGAGCTGGTCCAGGAAAACTTCAAATGCATTCAATGTTGAGAAGTGATAAAAAATAACCAGTACAGAAACTACATTAAGATACCTAACTATTGAAAAAAGTGGTAGATGAGCAACACATATGATAAAATCAGTACTACACAGTGAATGAAATGAGAAGAGAGAAGCAGGAACACAAAGTAGTAATGAAATAATTAGGTATTTAATATAAATGTTCTAAATCATTTTTGTAGAAATAAGGTAACCATCAAAAGTTGGGAGGGGAAATGGAGAAGCTGAGGGTCAAAAGATATACTTAAAGCTAATAAATCAACATATAAGGACATATGTAAGGATAGCAGTTGAAAGTATAAAAGCAAGTACTAGAAGAACTAAAAACAAACAAAAAAACCTAAGGATAAAAACCTTTCAAATTATCAGCAAGGACACATTCCCCCAATATAAATAAAATAAAACCTCAAAATGCAGGGAATATAGTGAAAGATCATTTTTAAAAGCAATAAAAATATAAAGCATGTTAAATACTATGAGAGAACTAAAAACAAAGTATAGTGGTCACATTAATAAATATAAATTAGATCAATTTACCTAGTTAATTTAAAAGTCTCTTTAAATAGAACCACTAGGCAAAACCCAACTATATAATCAACTACAGGCATACCTCAGAGATACTGCAGGTTTGGTTCCAGACCACCGCAATAAAGCGAGTATCCCAATAAAGCAAGTCTCATGAATTTTTTGGTCTCCCAGTGCATAGAAAAGTTATGTTTACACTATACTGTAGTCTATTAAGTGTGCAATGGCATTATGGTTAAAAAAACAATGTACATATTTAATTTTTTTAAACGCTATTGGAATAAAGGTGCCAAAAGACTTGCTCAATGTGAGGTTGCTACACACCTGCAATTTGTTAAAAAAAAGAGCAATATCTGCAAAGCACACTGAGACATGCCTGTATACAATCAAGAGTTACTACACCACTGTGATTCAGAAAGCACATGGACAAAGACACCAAAGCGGATTTCTGATTCTAGCAATGGCATGCTAGACCATTCAGATCAACCCTTCTACTGAGTAAAAGCAGAAACCCTGGTCAAAATATCAAAGCAAAACCAAAACATCTACTTGAAGGCCTCAGGATCCAGGAGGAAGAAATCCAACAAAATAAGCTACTTTTCTTCTACTGATGCATTTGCCAATCCCAGACCTGGATGAAGAATGAGAAGATTGAACGAAACCTTTGGTATCTTTTTTGAGGAGCTGAGTGCACAAAATCGGAATTCAGAACTCACCATGGGGAGGAGTTCTGGTAAATCTCAAGCTCTAGGGTCATTCCTTGAAGGGCACACCACTGAAGTAACGGTAAACCGGAAATATGCTGGACCTCCCAGAAGCTGAATCCTAGTTTCAATAGTTTAAATCCCTGGATCTGAGTTTCCTGGTCTCCCAAACCTTCTTTGAGAAACAAATATAGGCCCTCTTTAAAGAAAGATAATATCACCTAGAACCTCAAAATTTTCATATATAGTGATACTACTATTCAACAAAAAATAACCAGGCATATAGTTGATGCAACATAATAGAAAACCAAGAGAAGTTAATAGGTAACAGAAACAAATCTACAGTGATTTCAAATAGTGAAGTTATCAGACATGGATTCTAAAATAACATGCTCAGCATGTTTAAGGAAATAAAAGACTAGATTGAAAGTTTCACCAGAGAACTAGAAACTGTTACAAGGAAAGAAAGAAAATAAACTATCAAGTGGAAATTCCAGAATGTAAAAATACAATACTGAGATCAGGAATCAATGGATCGGTGCACAGCATTTTAAATAAATACAGTTGAAAAAAATTAGTGAACGGAAAGACAGGTCAGAAGAAAATAGCCAGAATAATGCATAGAGACACACAATGATTGAAAATTAGATAAGAGAATAGGAGACATAAAGAATAATAACAGTGAAAAGGTTTTACCCAACTACGTAACTAAAGTTCTAGAAAAAGAGGAGAGAGATAAGAAGCAATATCTGAAGATAAAATAGAAATATTCAAGCAGAACAGCAGCTTGATTTCATTTCTGTAGATCTAAACCGGATAATTAAAAAAAAATCCAAACAGATCTAGATACAGCAATAGGAAGACTGTAGAAATCAAATACAAAGATAAAAATTTAAAGCAGCAGCACACGCTACTTTCAAAAGGAAAAAATAAGACTGACTTTTCAACAGAAAAATGGAAGCCAGATGGATAAACAACAAGGTCCCACTGAATAGCACAGAGAACTGTATCAATATCCTATGATAAACTATAATGGAAAAGAATATAAAAAAATATATATGTATAACTGAATCACTTTGCTGTATAGCAGTAATTAACACAACATTGTAAATCAACTATATTTCAATTAAATCAAAGAAAAATGGAAGCAAAAAATACTGGAATAGTATCGTCCTTGTGTTAAAAGAAAATAACTGACACATTGAATTCTATACTCAATGAAAATATCAGATATACTATAAAGAAAATCCTAAAGAGTGTTCTTTAGGTAGAGTAAAAATAATCTCTGTTTTAAGGCCAGAGATGCAGAAAGGAAGGAAGACCAACATAAAAAGATAAATATCTGGAGAAGGTAAAGTGAATACTGATTGTATAAAACACGGGGTTTAAAACAATGTATACAGGGGCTTCCCTGGTGGCACAGTGGTTAAGAATCCGCCTGCCAATGCAGGGGACATGGGTTCGAGCTCTGGTCCAGGAAGATCCCACATGCCACAGAGCAACTAAGCCCATGTGCCACAACTACTGAGCCTGCACTCTAGAGCCCGTGAGCCACAACTACTGAGCCCGTGTGCCACAACTACTGAGCCTGTGCTCTAGAGCCCATGCTCCACAACAAGAGAAGCCAACGCAATGAGAAGCCCACGCACCACAACAAAGAGGAGCCCCCGCTCTCCACAACTAGAGAAAGCCAGCGCACAGCAACGAAGTCCCAATGCAGCCAAAAATAAATAAATAAAATAAATTTTAAAAAATGTATACAGAATTAAAATATATTAAAAAAAAAACCCAGTATTTAAGTTGGGACGTGAACAAATAGAGTTAAAGTGTTTTAAAGTCTTTACAATCCCCAGAGTTTAAAACACTAATAAACATTAGTGCTGAGGCCTCTATGATGTGAGGAAGCCTGAACTAGCCTTTAAAATAGACCATATGGGGGGACTTCCCTGGTGGTCTAGTGGTTAGGACTTCACACTTCCACTGTAGGAGTCGCGGGTTCGATCCCTAGCCGGGGAACTAAGATTCCGCATGCCACATGGTGTGGCCAAAAAAAAAAAGGTTAAAATAGGTCATATGTAGTATTAGACATAATACCAAAACAAGTGACAAAGGAAAAAAGAGATAAACTGAACTTCAAAGTTTAAAACTTTTGTACTTAAAGGATACTATCAAAAAAGTAAAAAGACAATTCACAAAACTAGAAAAAATATCCACAAATTAAGACATCTGATAAGGTATAGTATTCAGAATATATAAAGATTCAATAATAAGAAGACAACACACTTTAAAAATGAGCAAAGGGGGACTTCCCTGGTGGCGCAGTGTTTAAGAATCCACCTGCCAATGCAGGGGACAGGGGTTTGAGCTCTGGTCCAGGAAGATCCCATATGCTGCAGAATAACTAAGCCCATGTGTCACAACTACTGAGCCTGAGCTCTAGAGCCTGTGAGCCACAACTACTGAGCCCACGTGCCACAACTACTGAAGCCCGCATGCCTAGAGCCCATGCTCCACAACAAGAGAAGCTACCGCAATGAGAATCCTGAGCACGGCAACGAAGAGTAGCCCCTGCATGATGCAACTAGAGAAAGCCCACGCACAGTAACGAAGACCCAATGCAACCAAAAATAAAATTTTTAAAAGTTAAAAAAAAAAAAAAAAACGAGCAAAGGATCTGCACAGACATTTCTCCAAAGATATATAAATGGCCAATAAGCACATGAAAAGAGGCCAACATCATCAGCCATCGGGAAATGCAAATCAAAATCATAATGAGATACTGCTTCACAACCATGAAGATGGCTGTGGGCTTCCCAGGTGGTGCAGTGGTTGGGAGTCCGCCTGCCGATGCAGGGGACGAGGGTTCGTGCCCCAGTCCGGGAGGATCCCGCATGCCACGGAGCGGCTGGGCCCGTGAGCCATGGCCGCTGAGCCTGCGTGTCCGGAGCCTGGGCTCCGCAGCGGGAGAGGCCGCAGCAGTGAGAGGCCTGCGTACCGCAAACAAACAAAAAAAAGACGGCTGCAATAAGAAAGATAGACGGCAATTATTGGTGAGAATATGGAGAAGCTGGAACACTCACACTGCTGGTAGGAATGTAAAATGGTGCTACTACTATGGAAAACAGTCTGGGAGAGTAAAATACAGAGTTACCTTGTGATCCAGCAATTCCGTTCCTAGGTATATACCTGCTATGGTCTGAATGTGCCCACTCCCTCTGCTTCCAAATTCATATGTTGAAATGCCAAAGGTAATGGCAGGAGTAGGGGGAGTCTTTGGAAGGTGCTAAGTCATGAGGGTAGAACCCTCATGAATGGGATTAGTGCCTTTATAAAAGAGGCTCCAGGGAGATTCCTAGCTCCTTCCACCATGTGAGGACACAGAAAGTGCCAGCTATGAACCAGGAAGAGGACCTTTACACGATCATGCTGGAGTCTTGATCTTGAACTTCCCAACCTGCAGAAGTGTGAGCAATAAATTTCTATTATAAGCTACCCCGTCTGTGGTATCTTGTTATAGCAGCCCAAATGGACTAAGACAATACTCAAGAGAAACGAAAACATTATGTCCACAGAAAAACTTCTACATGAATGTTCATAGCAGCATTATTCATTATTCATAATCACAAAAAAGTGGAAGCAACTCAAATGTCCATCAACTGATGAAAGGCTAAACAAGATGTGGTATATCCACACAATGGAATATTATTCAGCAATAGAAAGGAGTGAAGCACTGATTCATCCTACATCACAGATGACCTTGAAAACGTTATGCTAAATGAAAGAAGCTGGTCACAAAGGACCAAATAGTATATGATTCCGTTCATATAAAATGTCTAGAATAGGCAAATCTATAGAGACAGCAGTGGTTAGTAGTTCTTAGGACTGGGTGGAAGAGAAGAAGGGAGGAGGGAAGAGAATGGTTAGCTCATCAAATCAAGAAAAAAGGGTAAAAAACCACAGCTACACTAAAACAGAAAAGGAAAATGGAGGAACCATAGGTTCAGAGTAAGTAGAAAGAACAGGCTATTTTGTTTAACTCTATTAAATACATTAAAAAACGCTGAAGAAATAAATGATTTTCTAGAAAAATATCAGGGACCAAAACAGATACTGAAAGCAACAGAAAATCTAGACATGTCAATCACCACAGAAGAAGCTGCAACAGTTTCAAAGAACCGTCCTCCACGAAAAGAAACAGCCCACATGCCTTTAGGGTAAGTTCTACCAAATCTTTAAAGAACAGATAACTCCAACATTATTTAAAGTATTTTATCAGAGCACAGAAAAAGAAAGAAAACTTCTAGACTCTTCATGAAGTCAGAATAATGTTTATAAAAAATTTGTCAAGGACAGACCGGGCACACACACACCCCTATGGGCCAATCTCACTCGTGAGATCTATGGAGAAAACCCTAAATAAATCTTAGCAAATAGAATCTAACAGCACATTACCATCATACTGTAATACCATTACCAAGCAAAGTCTGCCCAGAGACAAAATAATTTACCACATTAACAAATTTTTAAAAAATCATATAATAATCTCCACAGATGCTGAGATTGAATTTGACAGAATTCTACATTTACTCATTAATAAAAACTTGAAATAAAGTAGATAGCTACTTCTCTAATATAATTTAAAAACGGTATCTCAAGCAAAAAGTCACCATCACACTTAAGAAGAAATATTAAAAGTATTCCCATTTATGTCAATGGCTATTTTTCTTATTTCTATTACCGCTATTACTTAAAAATTTTGAGGACTTATCACTTAATATAATTAGACAAGTATAAAAACTGGAAAGGAAGAAACTGTAAGTATCATTATCTACAGATGGACCAGATACCATTCCTTGGGTCAACTGATAAATGACTACAGACAATAAAAACAAGCTGATTATGAAACTAATATAAAAACCAACAGACTTTTAAATTTTAAAAAAAGGTTTAAAAGGTACACAGAAGAAAAGATGCCATTTACAAAAGCAAGAGAAAACATAAAATAACCAGGAACAAACTTTAAAATGTTTAAGATCTATTGTAAGAAAAATTCAAAATGCTCTGGCTGAGGAATATAAAAGGTTAGACTGAAAGTCAGAACTTGTTCTTAGTTAGAAAGGGTCAATATTATAAAAACTTTCTATAACAATAAAATATGTTTTAAATTAAACAAACTATCTACTTATCTTTTGGAATTAGAAAAGCTGATCTTAAAATCTGCATTAAAATATAAGCACAAAATATCCTGGATGAGTCAGAAAAATATAGAGTAATAAGGGGAGATGGGCACTATCTGATATTAAGATACATTATAAGGACATAGTAATTACAACACTGCGGACTAGTACATGAAGAGTCAGAGCAATAGTGCAGAAGTTAAGTCCAGAAATAGACCAAAACATACGGCTTCTGACTTCTAAGCTAAGGGGACATCAGGTAGCGTATAAAAGAGGCTGTTCTCAGAAATGTAGAGCAAGTGCAAACAAACAGTGCTACAAGTGTAGCACAGGAGGTGCTCTCAGCTGTTCTATAAGGCCCCTACCCACTACTGAGTGGCTGAAGAGTCAGATTATTAACTTGCAATATGCCTCATCACGTTAAGTTTTAGAAAACTCACTTCCGCCAGGATGACATCATCATCCAGGTCCTCTTCATCATGCTGCTGAGGAGCTGGGGTGACCAGCATTGGAACCCCTTCCTCATCAGAGGAGTCAGATATGGTGATGGGTCCATCTCTGAGATTGATCCAGTCTAAAAGTAGGCAGAGAACACTGTTAGGAGGAGGTGGGCATAATCACATTGTCCTTTAATTCAACTTTGGCATGAAAAGGGTCAAGCTTAAAGCCAAGTTTACAGCTATTGGAGTGTTAACTTATCTCCTCAAGCAGCACATGCAACCAAGCATTAAAATGAGCCATTTTTCCATGCTGATCCTTGCCAATAATTCATTTGGGGAATCACCAGAGAAAATCTGACAATTACTATGCTCAAGATTATCAACTTTTTCTTATACTAGACTGGAGGAATCTGTTGATAAAATCTTCTCGACTGCTCACTTCTTAAATGTGAAATCATGGCCTCCCATCTCACCTCTATTCTTCCAAAGGAATATAAAACACTGCTTTATTCAAACTGATAGGTCTGAAAAAACATTCACTCAGAAACAGTAAAATTTTCACTTAATATTTAAAATATTAAAATTTGTTCACCTTAGACACAAACCTTAAGTATCACGCAAACATATTTCAGTGTTTTAGTCAAACACCCATTTATCATCTATGACAGTAAGCACTTTAACCTTCCTGTTTCCTTTTAAATATAACTAGAGTTAAACTAACCATCTAATGATAGATGTAATAATTCTGTTAAAGGTCTCCAAGTCCTTTTATTTGTTTGAAGACAAAGCACGTTTGATATAAATTACTGGATAACACAAATTAATAATTCCTCCATTAAAGCTCTAATATTTTTCTCAAGGTTAATGCCTCATGTATTTTTATGTTACCCAACAACTTGAAAAGCAATATAAAACCAATTATCTCATTTCATTCCTGTAACAGGGCTGTGGTAATGCCAAGACAGTAGTTTAAAACAGGTACGTCCACGGGATTAAGGTCAGACTGCCTGGATTCCAGTCTCAGCTCTACCACATACTAGCTATATGATGCCATTATTTACTTCTTTAGGCATCCATTTCCTCAACATTAAAGAAAGGCTAACAACACTGCCTACTTCAAATAGCTGTATTACCTAAAATGCCTGTTTATTATAGTACTTGACACACAGTGAAGTTGCCTGATTTTAAGTCCAATGCTACCTACGCAGAAACAACCAACTGAACTGAGGGCCGGCGGAAGTACATTATAGAGGATTCCTCTTAAACCTGCATCATGAATCCAAGTGATTATCACCATCACCTGCTGAAACCCTACTAAAATGATAGTAAAGGAACTTTTAAAAAGTATAACCTCTTAAGTACACAAAGAAGAGAAAAGGAGATAATAGCCAGCAAGAGATTTAAACAAAATTCTGGAAAACAGCAGATTTACACATGACAAGAGCTCTAGAAGAGTGGATAAGGCTCAAATCTGAAGCCTGCAGCGGGGGTGGCCAATCAGAGGTGGCCTAATTCATGTTGCAGAATCACAGATTTCCTGAATAACTGTTCTCAATTACTGTATGCCTTTGGTCATTTCCAGCCTTTAAATGGTTATTTTAGGGCTTCCCTGGTGGCGCAGTGGTTGAGCGTCTGCCTGCCAATGCAGGGGACACGGGTTTGTGCCCTGGTCCGGGAAGATCCCACATGCTGCAGAGCGGCTGGGCCCGTGAGCCATGGCTGTTGAGCCTGTGCGTCCGGAGACTGTGCTCCGCAACGGGAGAGGCCACAACAGTGAGAGGCCTGTGTACCGCCAAAAAAAAAAAAGGTTATTTTAGACAATTCTGTCTAATTTTACTGTTGATTTTGGGGAGAAGATTTGCCAAGCTTCTCACTCAGCCATTCCAGAAGACCCACACTGTGGAGGTTCCACTCTGAAGAGCCACTGAGGTAGAGAGTCACTAGACACCACGCCAAGAGAGGAAAGGGGTGTCACTGGAACAACCATAATGAGTAAGACCCTGGCTGCCTTCTGCCGCTTGGCTCCTGGAATGCTGGCAAACAGTCTTAGATTCCACATTCAAGACACTGTAGATTCCTCTCAGGAAGAACTGGCCCAAGAAAAAGACACAGACAACAACCGTGGGGCACCCAGCGAAAAAGTTGGTTTTAAACCTATCACCTTACAGTGAAGCCCAATGGTTGACAAGATACTCCCCAACATACCACATATAAACACATCAGCTTTTAAAAATATACTTTAAAACTTTAAAGTATAACAGAGCAAAGGCTATGAATTAACACAAAAGGCCCAAACCCGAGTGACCATCACAAAGGTTCGTAAATACATTTCTTGCACGTTAGTAGCCTAAACTACTCACATTAGTTCCTGAAAATACATTCTTTTGATTCTGGCTTCCTTGCAAACAACATGTCTGAGATATATCCACGTTGCTGCATGTTACAGTATGTAGTTTTCTTTGCTGTATGTAATTTACTATATGAATATATCATAAGTTACTTATTCTTCTGTTGACAGACATTTGGGTTGGTTCCAGTCTTGCCTGTTTTGGATAACGCTGTTATGAACATTCTTGTATATGTATCTTGATAGACTCATTTCAGTTGGGTACATTCTAGGAGAAGTGCTGAGCCACAGGGAAAGCATATGTTCAATTTTAGTGGACAATGCCAACTAATTTTCCAAATTGGGACAATTTACACTCCCACCAGCAGTGCAGGAACTTGAAACTTGTTTTGTGGCTCAAAATGTCAATTTTGGTAAACACATTGGGTGCAACATTCAGTATATGTTTGTTTCCTTATTTATTTACTTAAAATATCTTTACTGGAGTATAACTGCTTTACAATGGTGTGTTAGCTACTGCTTTATAACAAAATGAATCAGCTATACATATACATATGTCCCCATCTCTCCTCCCTCCCACCCTCCCCATCCCACCCTTCTAGGTCGTCACAAAGCACCAAGCTGATCTCCCTGTGCTATGCAGCTGCTTCCCACTAGCTATCTATTTTACATTTGGTAGTATATATTAGTCCATGCCACTCTCTCACTTCGTCCCAGCTTACCCTTCCCCCTCCCCATGTCCTCAAATCCATTCTCTACATCTGCGTCTTTATTCCTATCCTGCCCCTAGGTTCTTCATAACCTTTTTTTTTTTTTTTAGATTGCATATATATGTGTTAGCATACGGTATTTGTTTTTCTCTGACTTACTTCACTCTCTGTGACAGATTTCAGGTCCATCCACCTCACTACAAATAACTCACTTTCATTTCTTTTTATGGCTGAGTAATATTACATTGTATATATGTGCCACATCTTCTTTATCTATTCATCTGTTGATGGACCGGGCACTTAGGTTGTTTCCATCTCCGGGCTATTGTAAATAGAGCTGCAATGAACATTTTGGTACATGACTCTTTCTGAATTCTGGTTTCCTCAGGGTATATACCTAGTAGTGGGATTGCTGGGTCATATGGTAGTTCTATTTGTAGTTTTTTAAGGAACCTCCATACTGTTCTCCATAGTGGCTGAACCAATTCACATTCCCACCAGCAGTGCAAGAGTGTTCCCTTTTCTCCACACCCTCTCCAGCATTTATTGTTTCTAGATTTTTTGATGATGGCCATTCTGACTGGTGTGAAGTGACACCTCATTGTAGTTTTGATTTGCATTTCTCTAATGATTAGTGATGTTGAACATTCTTTCACGTGTCTGTTGGCTATCTGTATATCTTCTTTGGAGAAATGTCTATTTAGGTCTTCTGCCCGTTTTTGAATTGGGTTGTTTGTTTTTTTGATATTGAGCTGCACAAGCTGCTTGTAAATTCTGGAGATTAATCCTGTCAGTTGCTTCATTTGCAGATATTTTCTCCCATTCCGAGGGTTGTCTTTTCATCTTGTTTATGGTTTCCTTTGCTGTGCAAAAGCTGTTAAATTTCATTAGGTCCCATTTGTTTATTTTTGTTTTTATTTCCATTTCTCTAAGAGGTGGGTCAAAAAGGATCTTGCTGTGATTTATGTCATGGAGTGTTCTGCCTATGTTTTCCTCTAAGAGCTTTATAGTATCTGGCCTTACATTTAGGTCTTTAATCCATTTTGAGTTTATTTTTGTGTATGGTGTTAGGGAGTGTTCTAATTTCATTCTTTTACATGTAGCTGTCCAGTTTTCCCAGCACCACTTATTGAAGAGGCTGTCTTTGTTCCACTGTATATTCCTGCCACCTTTATCAAAGATAAGGTGACCATATGTGCATGGGTTTATCTCTGGGCTTTCTATCCTATTCCATTGATCTATCTTTCTGTTTTTGTGCCAGTACCATACTGTCTTGATTACTGTAGCTTTGTAGTATAGTCTGAAGTCAGGCAGCCTGATTCCTCCAGCTCCATTTTTTGTTCTCAAGATTGCTTTGGCTATTCGGGGTCTTTTGTGTTTCCATACAAATTGTGAAATTTTTTGTTCTAGTTCTGTGAAAAATGCCAGTGGTAGTTTGATAGGGATTGCATTGAATCTATAGATTGCTTTGGGTAGTAGAGTCATTTTCACAATGTTGATTCTTCCAATCCAAGAACATGGTATATCTCTCCATCTGTTTGTATCATCTTTAATTTCTTTCATCAGTGTCTTATAATTTTCTGCATACAGGTCTTTTGTCTCCTTAGGTAGGTTTATTCCTAGATATTTTATTCTTTTTGTTGCAATGGTAAATGGGAGTGTTTTCTTGATTTCACTTTCAGATTTTTCATCATTAGTATATAGGAATGCCAGAGATTTCTGTGCATTAATTTTGTATCCTGCTACTTTACCAAATTCATTGATTAGCTCTAGTAGTTTTCTGGTAGCATCTTTAGGATTCTCTATGTATAGTATCATGTCATCTGCAAACAGTGACAGCTTTACTTCTTCTTTTCCGATTTGGATTCCTTTTATTTCCTTTTCTTCTCTGATTGCTGTGGCTAAAACTTCCAAAACTATGTTGAATAAGAGTGGTGAGAGTGGGCAACCTTGTCTTGTTCCTGACCTTAGTGGAAATGCTTTCAGTTTTTCGCCATTGAGGATGATGTTGGCTGTGGGCTTGTCATATACGGCCTTTATTATATTGAGGAAAGTTCCCTCTACACCTACTTTCTGC